GACAACTAGAAGTTATTTGCTTGCTTACGTGTAAACTCACGGAATAGCCTTCGTACTTTATTTTAATGAACCTGTCTTTATTCAACAAATGATGGTGAGCTCTATTCCAAGTGAGAAGACTTCCGTAGGTAGCTTTCCCAGTGAAAAAGAGCCCTTTGAAAGACGAGTCCTCTTCGTCTAAGAGTTTAACCAGCCAGGAAGGAATTAAGGCAGGCATCAAATAGTTTTGATTTTTGATTGAGCTCCTGACCTTTGACTAAGCTGATTCCGAAAGAGTACTTATGCTTGGTCTCATATGCTTGTCTCGTGCACACGGCTTTTTCACAGTTTCTCCTTGTCAGGCTAGAGACCATCCCGATTGAAAACTACTATATTTAATTAATACCTTCTCCACCAACCCGTGCTATCGCGCGTGGTATTGCGTGAAGGTTTTTGGCGCGGTACAAGCGATATTATGATAGTCATAACAGGAACAGGAACAGGAAGGAACTCCTACTAGCCCTGCTACTAATAATATTCTATAGGAATAAGTGTACCTTACGTTGGATAACCAAGCACGCTTTGCTTCGTTAGTTCCACCGACAAGGGTTTCCAACTTCAATCACTCCATGGGGTCTTGTTTAACCAAATGATGGCGAACCAAGGCACGAAAGAGTGTGTACTAAGTGCCCGGTCCTTGACACCTTCTTCTTTTGCCTTGAAAGCCCTACTTGCCTTGCCTACTCCCTTGGCGAATGGCGATGAAAATGAGGAAATTCCTACCGGTTGATAACGGGAAAGTACTTAGGAGATCTCAAACCTGATCCTAGTGTTGTTAGGGGAACCGGGAAAGTTAAGCGCTGCTCCTAGGGTTGGTGTGGCGCGTGCTACAAGGATAGCGACCGTCGCGAGCCGGCTAGTCCGCACAGCTACAAGCAAGTGGGTGACTTACGAGAGAGATTGTCCTAACCCTGTGACCGGCCTTGTCAGTTTTATGGTAAGGTATACCAGGACGAAAGAAATCTAAAAAGGTGAAGCGCCCGCTCTACTCGTGTTGATCTTCGTCTTGTCCCTAACTGGCATTCCATCCTTTGGGCTGAGCTTCCCCCAGTTCCAATGCTTTACCCTACGGAGAGTGAAGTAAGCAATGTGGGGTTATTTTGCACAAAGGCTATAAGAATAAAATAAGAGTTTGATTTGACTTTTAGGTTTCCCTGCGGGGCAGTTACAGTCCGGTCCATGAACTCTTCCCATACCTGCTTATCCTCGCCTTTCTAAACCACTGTTGTTGATAAAATAAAAAGCGATGAAAAGGCTTTTTGAAATGTCGTATGTGACCAGTGAAACTTCATCTTTCAATGCGCTACATCCCTCGAAAGGCATATCTCGCCTTCCAGGAGCACTGAGAGTGTCTTATCCTCCCCCCATGGTCGAGTGACTGCGTACCTCATCTCATAGCAAGCTATTTCACATCCTTTCCTTTCTTTATTCGATAGGGGCGAGCAAGCAAGCAAGAAAACGGGGCAATCAAACTCCTGCAGCAATCAAACTAAAGCAGCAAGAAAACTACGCAATCAAACTAAAGCAGCAATCCAACTAAAGCAGCAATCCAACTAAAGCAGCAAGAAAACTAAAGCAGCAATCCAACTAAAGCAGCAAGAAAACGGCTGCGCGTGACTAACGCCTTAAACTAAGTGGGGGCTTTCGCTAACGGGCGCTCATCCGTTGCTTGTTCGTGACTAACGCCTTAAACTAAGTGGGGGCTTTCGCTAACGGGCGCTAATTCCGTTGCTTGTTCGTACTAACGCCTTAAACTAAGTGGGGGCTTTCGCTAACGGGCGCTAATTCCGTTGCTTGTTCGTGACTAACGCCTTAAACTAAGTGGGGGCTTTCGCTAACGGGCGCCTTTATTCGTAGCGGGCTTGTTCGTACTAACGCCTTAAACTAAGTGGGGGCTTTCGCTAACGCTTAATCCGTTGCTTGTTCCAGCTACGAATAAAGGCTTTAGAAAGCAACAAGCAACGGACTTAGAGATAGATAGGGGCGCACTAGCGTCTCAAGCCCTCTCGCTTTGCTTGAGCGACCCATTACGTTAGAAGGCGTTGCTTGTTCAGTCGAGCGTCTTCAAACCTAGCTCATGAGGCTGCTGCTTCAGTTCATTTTCTATTTTAGTGAAAATAGCCCACCAACTGGATCAGTTATTATGGATACATTAGTTTCAGATGAGTCAGAAAGCCTTCCACCTCAAAGACCTTCTGGGGGGACTCCCATAGAGAGGTTGGACTATTTTCAAGTCCATTATCATCAAGACTAGCACCCAGTTTCACCAAAAGAAGAAGGGGGCTATATGAGGAAATCCCAGGAAGAAAGAATATCCCAATTCCAGAAGGATCTTTCCTGCTTATTGCAGAGAAGGGAATTCTCCCCACCCCAAAATCATGCTCCCATAACCATGCCTTTTGTCAGATTCTGAGTCTTCAGAGACACTCTCAGAACAGCTGCCAGTTGACAACAAGACTGGCAAACTCCGAATTTGTGACGACACCCGAACTGAAAAGCATCACCGACTAAGGATGGTTAAACCCCCGTCAAGAGAGGCGTGAGGGTGGTTCGCCACCCAAAGTGGAGTTTTATAGCCCAAGAACTGCCTCATGATGGAGGAAAAAGAGAACTTCGGAAGGAATCCATAGATAGATGGATCAGGAATACCGATGTAAGTGCAAGAGGTCGGAAGAAAGAAAGTCGGCCTCTATCGTAGTAGTTGATCCTCTCACAACAAAGCAACTGCTGAAGAAACTGAGGCCAGTCTTCCTCTTCCTAAGGCCCCAGAAACTACAGAATCACTGCCCGATCACCCTAGTGATGATAAAGGGGACGAAAGAGGAAGGCAAGGCTATTAAGGCGGAAGCAAATCACATATATAAAGAGTAGGCATCGAATGCAGCTATTGAATCTGCCCGGCTAGCTTTCTTTCCTTGATGAAGAACCGACTTAAGACTGTAAGGAGAGGGAGGGCACCCCCTTTAATAGGGCTTACCTCTTTTTTCCTTTGAGAGTCATCAGAGAATGGGAGGCGACAGTACGTCATATGCTTTCCTCTTCAAGAGCTGCAGGGCTAGAGAGTCAAACCCTTGATTTCTCCACAACGAAATGTGATATATAAGCTCGAATCAAGTACCAACAAAGAAGAGGCGGAACCTTTCGCTTCGGGATCAGAGGGATCCCCCGTTACTCCACTACAGCCTTCCCTTTATTCATTCTATAGGGCGGGGGGACCAACAATCCATAGTGTAGAGGGCTGGCTCATCAATCGAGTACGGTCCGTATGCCCTTTTTCTCTTAGTCGCTAATAGAAGAGAGCAGCACAATCAATCATTGGTGTGCCCGGGCATATCAACATCCAGTTCCTATTCCTCAAGCAGGACAGATTCTCTGAAAGTGATCGGACGGGTAGCTAAAGTCGAAGGAAATAGATCGTTAAACATAGGGCTTTCTTTTGTCCCATCCCAGATCGGTAGACGAGAGTACTTTGACACATTTGAAAGCGATTGTGAAATCAGATTCTAGCCTTCCTTAGTCTTACAAGTAAGCAAGTCAAGCCTTAGTCTTCTCTTACAAGTAAGCAAGTCAAGCACCTTCCAGCAGGAAATATTGCTTTGAAAGCTTCGGCAGGGTCTTTTGATCTGTGTGGAGAATGTTACATGATTATTTATTTGGATTTGGAAGAAAGGTCAGCAACTAGTAAGAGTCAAATCCTCTCCCACCCGACTCCTCTTCAAGGATAGCAAGGCAGTCGCTGGGAGGTACATCAATCAGACTTTACGAAGAAATCCTGAGGCCACTCTTGGCCAGATAATCAGCCAGTCTCATGGCTTCCCTAAAAACATGCTTCAGGGACACCACCCACTCTTCAAGCAAAAGCTTCTTTCTTTCTGATAGAATTTCATAATATGGGTGACCATCAGTACTTTCTCTAGTGAGGAGGTTGACCGCTTCAGCACTATCACTGTCAATTTCCACCTTCTGATGCCCCTCTTCCTTACACCATAAGAGATTCTTCCTGATCCCTTGTATCTCTGCTATCGTGACCGGCATCTTACCCAGATTCTAGATTTTTCCCCTAATCCACTTTCCTTCATGGCATGGTCTCAGTCCACCACAAGCGGCTATACCTTCCATGTTGACCGCTCCATCGTAGTCAAGACTACGATGATCTTTCTCTGGTGGTTTCCAGGTTAGCATGCTGGAGGGATCAAGCCAGCAATAAGCATTTCTTTATCAGTCGAGTGGTTAGCTATACACCCAGAGGTTTGCAGTTTCCTGATAAGTAGTCAGTACCAAAGGGAGAGGGCTTCCTTTAGCTAGTTTTTTCCCCTATGCTTACGTGCGAGTGCCATGCCTGTGAAAAGCCAAACCTTAGTGAGTGAGAGGGTCGAAGGAGAAAAGAGCTTATTAGCCTATCGGTCGAGACTCTTTCAGTTGCACTAGTGGAGAAAGAAATGGGCTTCTTGGAGGCCATCGGGTCCCGGTGCTTTAAACGCACCCATAGAGTTTAAACACCATGAGCAGCAGGATGTTGAGGTCCGAAACTAATTTCGAATAAGTATTGCTTTCGCAGTAAGACTGAAGTTCCAGGTTCAAGGGATAGGTCTTAACCAGCAATCAAACTCAATAGTTTCCTATACATAGTTAGCTTTACTGAACAAGGCAGTCATCGTGATTCAATTTCTTTCTTTCTTACTCGATAGGGAAGAGAAGAGATAGGAACTGAAATAGAGAAGTGAGGAAGTTCAATAGTGAAATATCGGAATCAGAACTATTCTTTATCTGATGATCGTTCTCCCCGTAAGTCACTTCCCCTATCTCTAGAAGGCCCTAGGGTAAATAAGATTGATTTATCGGAGCGAATACTTCTGCTAATCTGTCTGAGCCATCTCTTTTGAAGGTATGAGACCCGCTAGGTTGACCGCGCCTCGAGGGAGACTATGGTAAGGTCGGATAGATCGAGTCTTTTGAGACTC